CTGCACACTTCACACCTTTTGTAGGCCCTTGCGTCTTATCTCCTGTCCTCTGTGTCCTATAGGGACACACAGCCCACATTTAACAGAGTTTGGCAGAAGTCACTAGCTCATGGACTCATTTTAAAGGATCATTTGTGTATTTCATCCTACATCTTCAGTTTTTCTACTTACACAGGATCTGTGTAAGTATATAGTATCTAGTCTGCCACACTGCTAACTCAGGCTACTTTCACTTGCATGGAAAACTACGTCTGGTGAGGCACTCAAGTCACAGAAAGAAGGGCAAGAACTTGAAGGTCCCATTGCATGTGAGAGAAGAAAACAGTGTCCAAGGAGCCAGCACACAGAGTCAGAACCACCTTTAAGTGTTTTTCTGTGGGAAGTACTAACAGACTAAGATCTAGCAAAGGAAGTTGGCCTGACAACAAGACAGAATACCCTAGCCACCTCAGGTACCTTATCTCTAGAATCCTGTAATCAATAAGGGCATAGGATTCCATTAAAATACAATTTCACGGGGCGCCTGGGTGGCTCAGTGGGTTAGAGCCACTGCCTTCGGCTCAGGTCGGGATCCCAGGGTCCTGGGATCGAGCCCCGCATCGGGCTCTCTGCTCAGCAGGGAGCCTGTACAATTTCACATTCCATAATTTATCATTTAGCATTTCTCAGTTTAAAAACAAACAATAACCAGTAACAAAATTGAAGCAGTACTCCAACCTCCCAAAAAACAAGAGTCCAGGGCCAGATGGCTTCACAGGGGAATTCTACCAAACATTTAAAGAAGAAACAATACCTATTCTTCTGAAGCTGTTTCAAAAAATCGAAACAGAAAGAAAACTTCCAAACTCGTTCTATGAGGCCAGCATTACCTTGATCCCCAAACCAGGCAAAGACCCATCAAAAAGGAGAATTACACACCAATATCCCTGATGAATATGGATGCCAAGATTCTCAACAAGATCCTAGCTAATAGGATCCCACAGTACATTAAAAGGCTTATCCATCATGACCAGGTTGGATTTAATCCTGGGATGAAAGAGTGGTTCAACATTCACAAATCAATGTGATAGAACACATTAATAAAAGAAAAGACAAGAACCATATGATCTCTTAATTGATGCAGAAAAAGTGTTGGACAAAATACAGCATCCTGATTAAAACTCTTCAGAGTGCAGGGATAGAGGGCACATTCCTCAATTTCGTAAAAACCATCTATGAAAAGCCCACAGTGAGTATCATTCTCAATGGGGAAAAGCTGAGAGCTTTTCCCTTAAGATCAGGAACACAACAGGAACGCCTACTCTCGCCACTATCGTTCAACATAGTACTAGAAGTCCTAACATCAGGAATCAGACACCAAAAAGAAATAAAAGGTACTCAGATTGGCAAAGAAGTAGTCAGACTTTCTCTCTTTGCAGATGACATGATACTTTATGTGGAAAACCCAGAAGATTCCACCTCCAAATTACTAGAACTCATACAGTAATTCAGCAATGCGGCAAGATACAAAATCAACGCACAGAAATCAGTTGCTTTTCGGGGTGCCTGGGTGGCTCAGTGGGTTAAGCCTCTGCCTTCGGCTCAGGACATGGTCTCAGGGTCCTGGGATTGAGCCCCGAGTCGGGCTCTCTGCTCAGCAGGGAACCTGCTTCCCTTTCTCTCTCTCTGACTGCCTCTCTGCCTACTTGTGATCTCTCTCTGTCAAATAAATAAATAAAATCTTAAAAAAAAAAGAAATCAGTTGCTTTTCTATACACTAAAATTGTCACTGGAGAAAGAGAAATTAGGGAACCGAATCCATTTACAATAGCATCAAAAACCATAAGCTACCTAGGAATAAACCTAACCAAAGAGGTAAAGATCTGTACTCTAGAAACTACAGAACACTTATGAAAGAAACTGAAGAAGACACAAAAAGATGGAAAAACATTCCATACTCACATACTGGAAGAATAAACATTGTTAAAATGACTATGCTGCCTAGAGCAATCTATACTTTCCATGCCAACCCTATCAAAATCCCATTGGTGGAATACTATGCAGCCATCAAAAACCCCGAAATCTTGCCATTTGCAATGACATGGATGGAACTAGAGGGTATTATGCTAAGCGAAGTAAGTCAATCAGAGAAAGACAATTATCATATGATTTCTCTGATATGAATAATTTGAGAGGCAGGGCAGGGGGTCGTGGGGGGAAGGGAAGGAAAAAAGAAACATGGTGGGACCAGGGAGGGAGACAAACCATAAGAGACTCTTTTTTTTTTTTTCTTCAAAGATTTTATTTATTTATTTATTTGACAGACAGAGATCACAAGCAGGCTGAGAGGCAGGCAGAGAGAGAGGAGGAAGCAGGCTCCCTGCTGAGCAGAGAGCCCGATGCGGGGCTCGATCCCAGGACCCTGAGATCATGACCTGAGCCGAAGGCAGCGGCTTAACCCGCTGAGCCACCCAGGCGCCCCATAAGAGACTCTTAACCACAGGAAATAAACTGAGGGTTGCTGGAGGGGAGCAGGGTGGGAGGGATGGCGTAGCTGGGTGATGGACATTGGGGAGCGTATGTGCTATAGTGAGTGTTGTGAACTGTATAAGACTGATGATTCACAGACCTGTACCCCTGAAGCAAATAATACATTATATGTTACTTAAAAAAAATCCCATTGGCATTTTTCAAAGAGTTAGAACAAACAATCCTAAAATTTGTATGGAGCCAGAAAAGACCCTGAATTGGCAAGGAAATGTTGAAAGAGAAGAACAAAGCTGGGGGCATTATGTTGCCTCATTTCATGCTATATTACAAAGCTGTGATCACCAAGACAGCATGGTACTGGCACAAAAACAAACACATAGATCAGTGGAACAGAATAGTGTTTCCAGAAATAGACCCTCAACTCTACGGTCAACTAATCTTCGACAAATAAGGAAAAAATATCCAATGAAAAAAGACAGTCTCTTCAAAAAATGTTGCTGGGAAAGTTGGACAGCTATATACAGAATAATGACATTCGACCATTCTCTTATGCCATACACAAAGATAAACTCTAAATGGATGAAAGACCGCAATGTGGGACAAGAATCTATTAAAATTCTAGAGGAGAACATAGGCAATATGTTTGACATCAGCCACAGCAACTTCTTTCAGGACATGTCTCCAAAGGTAAAGGAAACAAAAGCAAAAATGAACTTTTGGGACTTCATCAAGATAAAAAGCTTCTGCACAGCAAAGGAAACAGTCAGCAAAATGAAGAGGCAACCCATGGAATGGGAGAAGATATTTGCAAATGACATGACAGATAAAGGGTTGGTATCCAAGATCTATAAAGAACTTCTCAAACTCAACACTCAAAAAACAAATAATCAAGCCAAAAAAATGGGCAGAAGACATGAACAGACAATTCTTCAAAGAGGACATACAAATGGCTGACAGACACATGAAAAAATGTTCAACATCATTAGCCATCAGTTCAAATCAAAACCACATTGAGATACCTCCTTATACCAGTGAGAATGGCAAAAATTAACAAGGCTGGAAACAAATGTTGAAGAGAATGTGGAGAAAGGGGAACCCTCTTACAGTGTTGGTGGGAATGCAAGTTGGTACAACCACTTTGGAAAACAGTATGGAGGGTCCTCAAAAAGTTAAAAATGAGCTACCTTATGACCCAGCAATTGCACTACTGGGTATTTACCCCAAAGATACAGATGTAGTGAAAGGAAGGGGAACATCTATCCCAACATTCATAGCAGCAAAGTCCACAATAGCCAAACTATGAAAGGAGCCAAGATGCCCTTCAAAAAACGAATGAATAAAGAAGATAAGGTTCATATATACAATGGAATATTACTCAGCCATCAGAAAGGATGAATACCCAACTTTTGTATCAACAAAAGTTGGAGGGACTGGAGGAGATTATGCTGAGTGAAATAAGTCAAGCAGAGAAAGACAATTATCATATGGTTTCACTCGTATGTAGAACAGAAGGAATAGCAGGGAGGACCCATAGGGGAAGGGAGGGAAAACTGAGGGGGGGGAAATCAGAAGGGCAGACGAATCATGAGAGACTATGGACTTTGGGAAACAATCTGAGGGCTTCAGAAGGGAGTGGGGAGATAGAGTAGCCTGGTGATGGGTATTAAGGAGGGCACGTGTTATAATGAGCATTGGGTGTTGTTCATAAGTAATGAATCATGGAGCACTTAAAAAACAACAAATAAACAAAGTCCAAACATATCCTCACAAGTCTCTTTAACACAATGCCACAGACCTTGAAAACCCTTCTGGATTTCAAAATAAACAATACAAAGTTGAAGATCAAAAAGCCTTATGAAACAGTTAATTTTGAAAAAAAAAACCTATAAAATAGTACAACCTACAAAATATACCTTATAATTAAGTCTTTATAGCAGGATGCAAATACACTGGTCTGTTTGATGCAGAATCTCTGATAATGAATTTTTTTTTTCTGATAATGAATTTTAAAGTGGAAATAAATGCTGGGTGCAACCACACTGAAGCATGCTCTATTATTATTTCCAAAGAGTCTGCTCATGCTGTTGTTTCTGCCTAGAATGTTCTTCCTATCCAAGCTCCTACTCATCATGGTTCTACATTACATCTCCAGCAAGTCATGCCTGATATATGCCCAGATTTAGTTTTCTTGCCATCTGTTTCCAAGCTTTGTTCACCATGATTTCAAGAGTTTAACATGCTTGGGACATAGTAGGTACTAATGAATATTAGCTCCCTTTCTGAACACTGTGGTTAAAGAAGAACAGTGCAGACCAGAGGAGCAAGAAGAAGGACAGATTCCTGGAAAAAGTAGAATTTAGGTTGGGCTAGAAGAGATAGGTAGGACTGAAGATACAGAACGCAGTGAGAAGACACTGGAGAGCAACCAGTGAGGCTGGGCTGGTGAGATAAGACAAAACTGACAGAAAGTGAGCATGAGGCGGGTGGCTTGAATCTGACTGATTTAGCAGCTACCCTCAGCATACTCTCACCTGTGCTCACTGAAGACGGAGTTATCCAGAACAATCTTCTCCAACAGTTCAATCAGTTCATTAGGCAGATCAGCTGTCATGAAGGCCTTGACAGTGACTGAGACCTCTTCAGGATCCTGTGTTTCTGACAATGCCGTCTGTACCACCTGGTTTGAAGTATCATTTGAAAGAATTTGGTTAGATAAAGTCAATTCAAGACTATCGTTGACGCTAAACAGAAAGGAAGGATTACCCTATGGCAGTCTGAAATAGACACAGAGAAAACAGAAGATTTCTCAAGGCAAAAAGGGAAGGTTGTCTAAAGAAGTCAATTTCAGAGATTTCAGCCTGCTCTATTTGACAATTAGTTTCTCTCTCACATCAAAAGGGCTGCAGACTCATCTCTGCCCCAGTAACCATACTACAAATTTACTCCAAAGCCAGTAACACAGTGCACTTAAATAGGCGGCTGAAATGCATGTTTGCTTTTATCTTTTGTTTTTTTATGTCACTGTTCATAGCAAATAGGGCCTCCCTTTCTCTAATGAAGACACCACTCCAGGGAAGCTCTTGCTAGCCTAGAGCATCACAGCTGCTCTGGCCCAACCCACTTCCAGGGATGCAACTGAGTATACACCCTGAGCTCCACAGTCTCAGACCCATGGCAAGGGCAAGACTGACGAAAAACTGGCCACACCACCTCTCATTCAGTTACAGGTGTCTCAACTACAAAAGAACTCACAAGTGGGGAAAAAGACATTTTTCCAAAGAGTACACTTCCCAGATAACATCAGGCTGGAAGACCAGGATTGTTCTCTTTGCACTTTCTGCCAGAGACCTTCGGTGACTTCAGGATCTATCAGTTTTGCCAAGTTTCATCAGGGGTGGGCAATGGCAATGCATTAATGAGAAAGAACAGATAGCTCAGAGGAGGTATATCATAGATAATATAGAGCTCTGGCCATGAACTTTCACCCTATGAACAGGAGGGGCTGCAAAGGACCTGGAATCAAAGTCAACCCAGTCCACCTCGCAAGTGGCCACTGTATACTCAGTGGCACCATGGGATACAAAAGTTCTTCTGAGGCATTTATAACAACCCTAAAGGTTATACAAAGGCATGTAAGGCAAGGGGCTATCACAGAAGATAGTAACAAAAAGGGTGTACTTAAGGGAAAGGAGAACTGTGACAGCACACAGAATCCATCCAAAGTAGGAGGTATATTTCCTACCATCATGACATCTGTCCATTTTTGGAAAACCTTAGAGCACTTAAAATACACACTGGTTATTTTAAGGGCAAAAATAAATTTCCACCATCTATTTGAGTCAACAGGATGCCTAATCTAAGGTTACCTCAGGAAGCTGCTTCCTCTAAGTAAACTTTCCATGATGAGCTTCTCCTGCAGACCTAAAAGCAGTCTGTTGCCGTCATGCAGTCCCTCTAATTAGAGAGGCACGGGAGGTGAATGCCCCTCAGGAGGCGGCTATGAATATTCAGTCCCAGCAGACATAATGACAGGATCAGGAGCTTCACATAGACACAGGAAGACTAAGCGGCACCTGCTGGCTTCAGCTCAGTGCGGCATTAGAGCTGCTCATCCCAGTGCCAATGCAACGAGACCCGTAAGATGTGCCAGGCAGCTGGACCACACCTGGAGAAGTATCTGTTGTCTGCAAATTTGGAGAGAGATCTCTAGCGGAATCTAAATCTACTCTGTCCCAAGCCCTTTGTTGCTCAATGTCTTTGTCAAGTTCAGATCAATCTTCGGACAAATCTTACAGATGGGTAACTCCAAAGCTGATATAACGAGGTCCAAAATAACTCAGGCTTCTAGCCATCTAAAAGTGTTCCAAAGTAAAGTTTATTAAGAAAAAGATAATGGCACAGACGTGAGGAACAGTGGACAGCAAACAAGAAGGTGAAATTCAGAAGAGATAGAGGTGAAAACCCAACAAGCCCACCTAGTGGTTGCTAATGCACACAAAGGAGTGGGGGGAGGGCACTTTAGTTGATCTGCTCAGGCCTGAAGGCCACTTGTTGGGCCAGGGTCTTGCTCCCACCTGGATCTCAGCCCATCCCTGAACAGTATCCCCAGAAGCCTAGGGGACAGTGGGGATGGTAAAGTACCATCTGCTGCCTAAGGGTACAGAAAGCCCAGTGAGTGGCTGAGGTCAACAACCATCTGCCAGGCAGCACATAGGAGGAATCCTGGCCTTGGCACTGTGCCCCAGCTCTGAGTAGGCACTGGATAGTCACAAGGGTACAAGGGGTTCCTCAACAAAGGCAGGTTCAGCTGACACAACCTTAAGAGCTACTTACCTTGCATCACTGAGGGCTGAGCTGAAAAAAAACCACTATGGATCCAGCAAGCAAGCAGGCCGTCAGACACTCCTTTTACTGGGGTAGCACATCCCAGCTTTGGAGATCAGGGCCAACTCTGTGCCTTTAACCAATAAACAACTCCAGAGAAATTCACAAGATAGTCTGATCATGCATCTGAAGATGTTATGTTAAACATAACAATTCAACTAGTCATTCTGGCACAAGATGGTGAGTGGGCAAAAAGCAGGCATGCATACACATACTCCCATTTCCATTCCTCACCTGGTCGATCAGCTGTCTCCTGGATGGGTTGGTCTCCTCAAGGACGTGAGCCCAGAGCTCTGGATCCTTCCTGCGCACTAGGTGGCGGGCCTCACTTTTGAACAAAGAATTCTCATTGCAAACCTGAAATGAGTACACTAGTGTGTATAACAGAGCCAATCAGTGAAAACTATTTGGGGGACCCACCCCAGTCAGTTCCCTCTGACCCCTGAACTTGTTTAGTTCAGCCAGAGCCCAAATGAGAAACAGTACTTTGACATGGGAGGAGCAGCATCCCAAAGGGGTGACAACGTACTTCTCAGAGTGACAGATTACCTCAAAACACAAGTTTCGTAGTTTATAACAACTCCGAATGGGTATGGCTGTGTGGTAGCTCCTCTCCACATGAACCTAACTGTTGCCTTCTAAAGTGGCACTACCCAGAATTTTCAAAACAAAGAAAATGTTCTAGACCTGTGCTATGGAATATGGTATATGTAGGAGGAACTAATTTTTAAATTTTATTTAAATAGTCACCATCTCTAAAGTGTTATCAGAATAGCCCAGGACTAGTATAAAACAACATATATGCTGCAACATTTCAAATATGCTTTCATTGATTGAACTTGAGATCCTTTTTTGAGTGTTTTAATACATTTCCAAGAAACCAACGGTCCACTGCAACATTCCAATATGTGAGGCACTCACGAAGGCCTAGTGGGAATCAGACTGGCTGGGTACCAGATGCCGGGTACAAGACTAAATGCTGCGTATGTGTCCAACGGCTGCTCATGTGTGCATGGCATGAAGCCAGGAGCAGGCTTGGTCTGGCCTGCTCTGAAACCTCACTGTAGCTTCGAAACTTCTGACACAGCCGATTGTAACAAGCTCTTTTTTTTTCTCGTCTCAATACTGCTTCACTAAAAGGGAATGTCAATCATACATCACCCGGTAGGACAGATGGGTGCAAAGATCCCTAATCGGTCACTGAACTGAGTTTTAATAAAAAAGTAGTAAGTTCAGCCAAAAGGTGGCTTATGGTATGAAAATAACTTAAGTCCCAACTTCACAAAAACTGGCTCACTAGAGACTGCAAGGCAAGGTGCTATGTAGACCCGGCCTGTCACATGCATGGTCAGTGTACAAAGCTAAAGGAGGATGAGAAACTGGTGCCCGGCTCTTGAGCTTTGGCTCTGTACGTTTGATACCCTAACAGATTCTTCCCTGGCTGCTGAGTTTCTACCATATTGTCAGACACTCTGAGGCACCCAGGGCAAACAGACCAATTGCCTATAGTCAAACATCAAGTGCACCCACATGAGATTTCTGAAGTTTTAAGTCACAAGATTAAGTTTCAAACTATTTGATACTTAAGTAATAAAACATGTAGATCCAAGCCAGGGTAGCAGTAAGCAGACCTAGGGGGGATGTCCCAAGAAGGGGCCAGTAAGAACTCTGTGGTCGGCAACAGCTGGCATAGGGCACGCGTAAGAAGCTGCCCTCAGGGGACACCTAGGTGGCTCAGTCAGTTAAGCTGCTGCCTTCAGCTCAGGTCATGATCCCAGGGTCCTGGGATCGAGTCCTGCATTGGGCTCCTTGCTCGGCAGGGGGCCTGCTTCTCTCTCTGCCTCTGCCTGCCACTCTTGCCTGCTTGTGCGCGTGTGTGCTCTCTCTCTCTTGCTCTAACAAATAAATAAATAAAATCTTAAAAAAAAAAAAAAAAAAAAGAAGCTGCCCTCAGAAAAGCAGGAAGTGTGGGGCACCTGGGGGGCTCAGTGGGTTAAAGCCTCTGTCTTCAGCTCAGGTCATGATCCCGGGGTCCTGGGATCGAGCCCCGTGTCGGGCTCTCTGCTCAGCGGGGAGTCTGCTTCCCCCTCTCTCTCTTTCCCTGCCTCTCTGCCTACTTGTGATCTCTGTCTGTCAAATAAATAAATAAATAATCTTAAAAAAAAAAAAAAAAAAGAGCAGGAAGTGCAAGCACACACAGGACAGAAGTATCCAGGGTAGAGAGGCAAGAGGGGAGGCGGTCAGGCTGGTGAGGACAGGGCTGTTGTTCACAGAAAACCTCCTGAGTCAGGCCAAGGAGTTTAATTTTGCTCTCAGGACCCGAAGTAACACTGACGACTGTAGGCAGAAGGCTGAAAGGTCAGACTTGGGCCAGCCAGGGTTATAGGTACAATATATACAAACAGGGCATAAGCAGGTAGGAAACAAGGAGTCTGAATCAAGAGGAAACCAAGTTGGTGACAACGTAACCACATGATCTACAATTGTGGGGCTCAGAGGAAGCCCTCCTGAGCCCCCACCAAGGAAGCCCTGCCCCAGGAAGCCAGAGCAATAGCTGGCAGCCTAGTGTATTTGCTGCCCACCTTGATGAGCTCAAGGTCACACTGCCCCCGCTCATAGGCAACACAGGCCAGATGTGGGTCCCGCTTCTCACAGTAGCGGCCCACCACACGGCTGTCGTAGTAAATGTTCTCTCTCAGGAAGCGCTCGGGGCTATTGTTGCTGTCGATGTAGATCTTAGCAAGTGCATTGTGAGTGGCAGGCTCTTCACAGCCTTCGTGACTCCGGGACTCCAGCCAGGGAAGCAGCAGCTTTAGCCTTTGAAAGAAGGAAGAGCACCGTAAAAGTCTCAAAACTAACAACCGAAACCTCTAGGGCAGACCCTGAACTCTGAAGCTTGCTTCTAGAAACAAACAAAAATCTCACTCAGTTAACCTCAGGTTGTTTTAGAGACCAAAACAGACTTGAGTTCCAAACTGATTTCAATTGCTAAGTTTTTCCCAAAGATCTATACTACCAATAGCAAACAACTCACTATTAGATCTAAGATTTGTTGCATTAAAGACCAGCCACAGAGACAGTTGGTCCTGGGGCCTAGAGGCTGACTGAAAAGAGACTTTGGAGAATTAGTCATAGACCTAACAACAAACACTAGAACCCAGGGGCAAGAGAAGATACCAAGCTAGAACCCCTTACCTGTTTCTTTTTTCTACTTCAGCCACCAGCTCATCAGTAGAGAACTGTCCTCTCACCACCATGATTAAGTTTTTAATTACTTCCTCAGAACAATCCACATCAAGCAGCCCTCCAACCACAGCAGGGATCCGGCTAGGGTTGACCTAGAATGGTCAAGGTGGTGACTTCAGTGCTGCAGGCACAGGTCACTGCTACAAGTCCCCCACGGCCTGAACAGTGTGGCTGTCTGAAAGGGCTCCTGTGGTGGACAGAATGCATACTTGAAGCTCCAACCCCTAATGTGACTGTATTTGAAGATGGGCCTTGAAGGACATAATTATGGTTCCTTGAGGGCATAAGGATGGGGCACTAATCAGAGAAAAAGCCATATAAAGGCACAGTGAGAAGGTGGCCATCTGTAAGCCAAGGAGAGTGGCCTCAGAAAGAACCAACCCAAGGTGGTGGGGTCAGTGCCTTGATCTTGGACTTCTAGCCTCTAGAAAATGTCAACTGCTTAAGTCATGCAGCCTGTGGTATTCTGCTATGGCAGCCCAAGCTATAATACCACCAGTCTCAGACACATTCAGGATCAGAGGTAATCTCTCAGGTGTAGGCTATTACCACCAAGCAAGGCACAAAAGCAGCTGGGTGTGACCTGGGAGTGATGGTCCCAGTGATGCTCCCAGTAGTACCTTCTGAACGTAGATCTCGATGTACTTCTGCAGGTTGTTGCGGTACAAGTATAGGACAAGGTCATGGACAAAGTCAAACCGATCACACACGATGATGAGGGGAAGCTGGTCTGTGAGCTTGGCCTCCTGTGTATTGGGAAAGCACAGAAACAATGCAGGCAGTGAAGACCCCAAAGAGCCAGACTGCAGGGACCATGAATCAATACAGAGATGGTACTGCTTCTGTAGAGTGGCTCCAAGGAGACTCAAGATGAAACTGTTCTAGATATGCTGTTGTTTAAGGCATTTGCTTTTGGGGATACAGTGTTTGCCTTGGGAAAGATAATACTATTTGGTTAAAGAAGAAAAGAACTCTGCTAAATCTGGCAATAACACTGCAAATTGGTCTAAAAGCAAGTAACTCCTGGGTTAAGACAAACAGATCATTATGTATAAATCTGACCGAGACCCAGCAGCAGAGAGTATAGACTACTTTCGAGAACACCTGCCAATAAGGGCTGCCTTTCTGGACATGCAACCATACTCCATGGAACATCAGCCATCAGTGCAGAGGGCTGCCCCAACTCTGCAGTCCACCACAATAATGTCTCCCCCTCCCCTCATTTGGACATACCTACACGACACTTCTCAGGTGCCCTTGCACCCTTGCAGTTCTGGGTGTGGCCATGTGACCTAGTCTCCTCTAATGGAATGAGAACCAAAATGCCACATGAGACCTGCAACTTCACCCACAAAACCCACTGGAGCGGCTCCTCCTCTCTTTCCTTCTTCCAGTTGACCAGGAAGGCAACATTCGAGGTGGTATGCTGAAGATGGCAAAGCAACACAGCCTGGTCCTTGAAAGATGGTTGGAAAGGCTACCCCACTTAGCTCCACATCCACCCCTGTCTGTGCATGAGGAAGAAAGACACTTGCTTTTTTGCCCGTAGCACTGAGTAGCTTATTTGCTCCATAGACTTTCCCAAACTAATTAACAGAGGAACAGCTGGGATGTTGCTGAAACATAATGCAGCAATAAACTAACTCCCTCTACTCACACATAAGATAATTAAGAATCCAGCCTCAAGGATTATAAAATGAGCAGTAGCCTCCTCCAAGAACTTTAGGCCACAAGGTAGAGCTCTGCACTAAGGACCCAGGGGACACTGATGGAGGAAAAAGCCAGCTTTCTAACTCTGCCTGATGGTTTGCTCAAGGAAGGAGGTGATAACCTGGTCACACTTACCTTCAGGAAGTTCTTCACCCGCTCTGGGTTGTAGCAATTACTCTCCCGGCATATCCTCTCCACCTCCTTGATCTGCCCCGTCTTACAGGCAGCCTGAATATATTTCAAGTGCACATCTGGATCTTGGCTGAAGTTTACAATTGAGCCCAGGAAGTAGAAGAGGCCTATAAAGAGAGACTGTTCCATCTTATGCCCTCATACTATCTACCTGCCTTTTCCACAGTCGTAGTCCGCCTGCCCTTGATGGCCCAGCCCACAACAACAATGCTCCACTCTCCCAGATCACACAGCCCACTCACAACTTACAAAATCTATGTGAAGTTATTCTGCTTTGGTATCTCCCTCAAGGAGCTAGTCAGATTTCCGTGAAACTTGGGAGGTACACCTGAGATGTTCTGATGTGAAATACCTCATGTGTGTATGTGGAATCCTTCTGGGGACTCAGGCACATCCTACGGTTGGTCATCTTCAAGAATAATTCAAACTGAGGTAGCCTAAGAGGGCTGTGTGGCTGCTACTCTAAAAAGATAAACCAGGAAGAGGAAAGCAGAGGCTTTCACTGGGAGCCTCCAGAGTCTGTTCTGTGACACTGAGCTGTTGGCACACATGGAGCCACTGAGGAAGGGGGTGCAAGGTGAGTCACAGAGCACTGTTACTCCTTAGAGGCTGACCACCTCCTGACTCTCACAGGAGCCAGCCAGGAGGTACTGGTGACAAGAACAGGACAGAATACTCAGAGAAAACCACCTTCCCTGAGGAGGTCTTCGGCTGTAACCTGGGGGAAAGAACCAGAACCCTGAAGGCAGACAGCTCCCACCAACCCTACTCTACTGCCATCTCCCCACCCATGTAACATAATTGCTGCTGCAGCCTTTCCTGCAATGGCGTCTTTTGACAAGAGGGGCAGCCCCCTAAAGGGAGGTCTTGCCTTCACTCCTGCAACATTCTAGGCCAAGAACGGTGGCTTAACACCTCGCTGGACAAATGCTCAGTTTCTATCCCTGCCTCAGCCTGTCCCCAGCAGACACTCACCTGGGAAAGCCATCCCCCAACCAGCACATTCTCGGTGTGATGCCCACAACAGGGCAGAGGAAGCCAACCACAGTCAAGCCTGCCAGCCCAAAAACCACACCGGGCTGAGCCTCCATGGGGCTCTTACTCAGAGGAAGCCAAAGGGGCCGCCCCCTCAGAGCCATGCACTCCAGCACTACTGGCCCAAGTTTTCTGGTGAACACTCAGCAGAGTGTGTGACACAAAGATGCTCAGTTCCATAGAGGCTCCAGGAACACAAGGGGGATTCTAAGCGTCCCCACCCCAACGCCAACCAATTGCTTCATTTGCAAATGCCAAAAAAGCGACCTACGCTGGGTAACACACACCAGACAGCAGAAATCTTCTGCCACTGACCAACACATCAGCCTGGCCTGAAGGAAGACTCAGGTTGGGCAGGCAGACACCGACACCTGATAAGGAGGTGCAGGTGGCTAGAGGCTGTGGAATTTACCTTCGTAACTCTTGAAGGATTCAAAGAGCTCCACCAAGGACTGTGTGCCCAGCTGCTCGTGGTACTTGGAGGCCACCTGCACACACAGCTGAAGGTTCTGTCTGATGCTGGCAGACAGCAGAGCATGAAGACACGCCAAAGAATCTTCCACTGACAAGGAGCCAAAGAAGCTGACGAGCCACTGGGAAGCAAGGAAGAGTTTGTCCACAGCTAAGTACCATCCTCGATGTTGCCAACACTGGCAACATCACTGGATCAGTTTTTCCCACTGAGTGTGAAAAATATAAAGAATCTTCACTTAAAAGGACTGAAAAGCAACTATCCCTTGTGGCAAAAAGTGGAAGCCAGGAGTTAACTTCAGATGAGACACTAACCTCAACTATTCATCCAGCTGTCCAGAACCTGCAACGCCCCACAATTGATACAAAAACCTATTCTGTAAATGGAATGCAATACCAATTAGCTTCTGCTAATGGTTTTACACAACCCTGCTAGAGCTGTCAATGTTAATAGGTTCTCCTCTTTTGGGTTAAGTCAGAGGTGGACTATGGGAAGAAAGAGGTAATGAGAACCCAGTTGCGTGGGTGAGCAAGGGGAATTTGTGTGTTGGCTGAATGAGAATTGTGTATAGCAGTGACAAGGCTCACGCACAAGGAAGACACATGCCACACTCCCACAACCACAGACATAGGGAAATTTTGGGAGCATGTGACCCTAATGACAGGTGGGTGTCATCCACAACAGAAGTGCCCCAACGGTGCACCAATACCTCGGGATTGAGGAGGTGAGTGTGGACCATAGCCCTCTTGATGTCGTAGAGGTCCGTGTAGTGCTCCAGTGCACGCTGCAGGAGGCCCGCCTTCTCACAGAGCTGTGCAATGTGGGCCCGATCATAATGAGTAAACATCTGATTTCCAAGAATGGCATCTGCAACCTATGAAATGGTGAGGTCAGGAAGAAAGCCTGAATTGTGGCAATAACTTTTTAACAGTAGCTGCTCAAACCATGCCTCCCAGGGCATAGCTCCAGAAAGTAATCATAGGAGAGAGAGGCTTTACCAGGTCCAGGTTTTTCCCCACCTCCAAGCAGAGCCCTAGCCAGCTTTGCAAGTGACCCGAGGCTCTTTGAACAAGGCGCTGTCCTCCTAGGGTGCAGGGCCAGGTGTGTATAAAAGGCTGAGGCTCTGCCCTAAAGCATATTACTGGGATCAGGCCAGGCTACTGTTCCGGCTTTTCAGCCAACGTATTTGTACAGTTTTCTATGGCAAGTCAAGGTCAATATGAGAGCATGAGTCTTTAATGAGCTCAATCCTTGGACTAGCAACAGTTACAATTAGACCTGGAAGTAACAAATCCTACAGGTATTCATTAAGCTTCTCAATTTGGTTGAAGGCAGAATTGGGGAGAGGAGGGGTGTGTGTGAGCACGTGCATGTGCAGGGGGTTACGTTTGAAAAACAACTAACAGTCCTGGAAAGAATTTTGATGAAGCTTAATACCATCTTTAAATAAGCAACCTCTGGACTAAGAATGAGTCAACGAGCAACCTCGCTGCCTTGTTACGTGATCTGACCCTCAGTATCTAACTACAAGTGAATCTTGATGAGACATGCTCCTGGGTGTCACCCAGCACACTCTTTCCTGTTCCTTCCTGGGTATGGAGTACCAACCATACAGTGACCACAGACCTAGTTAACATCATGCTGCTCCAGGGTAATGCACACTCTGGGCTCCCTAACAATACCAACCAAGTGCTGAGAGCACAGTTTTGTAATATCTGGAACTTATCTGATGCTCCCCACCCTTTGTTTTCTTCAGACCTATCCTTACTATCTTCTTTAGAAAAAAAAGTTTCCTCCTTATTATAGCAATAGTATCATTTAAAGAACTCAGAAAATATAAGATGAGCCAAGAAGGAAAATAGCATCCAGCCTCTGACATCCAGAGAAGACTGCCCCAATGTTCTGGGTGTTGTATCCAGCTGTGCACCCATCCAGGCTGCACCTGTTTCGGGTTTGGGCTCTTCTTAGGGTCTATCTGCTCAATTCCTGAGTGGTGTCTAGTTTCTGCTTCAAAGTTCATTTAACAAAAGCTGTCATATATGATCACCAACTCATAAGAGTTCAACAGAACACCAAACACCAAATTAATAGCACTTTTGTTTTCTAGAGGTGAGACATGACCCACATAAGAGCAGCTAACTTGTGGATTGCAATAACCTGAAATCACAGAACAGTATAATTAACACAGTGTTTCCTAATCACAACAATAATACATGACTATAAAGAAAAAGAACCTAGAAGACAAATAAGTAAAGAGCAAAGTGAACTATGATCCTGTCCACTCAGACAACCATCAAGCTAAAAGCTTGATGTAAATTTCTCCAAACTCCTTTCATGCATACATATGTAAAATTAATTTAAAAAAGCATATACATGTGATTTTAACATCCCCCCAACTTTCAGTTCAAGAAATGCTCCACCACAATGAGCTACCACTTCACACCCATTTAGGATAGCTATTATTATTTTTATTTTTTTAAGATTTTATTTATTTATTTGACAGACAGAGATCACAAGTAGGCAGAGAGGCAGGCAGAGAGAGAAGAGGAAGCAGGCTCCCCACTGAGCACAGAGCCTGATGCGGGGCTCGATCCCAGTACCTCGAGATCATGACCCGAGCTGAAGGCAGAGAGGCTTTAACCCACTGAGCCACCCAGGCACCCCTATTTTTTAAAAACACACCCAGAAAATAACAAGCACTGGCAAACATATGAAGAAATTGGAACCCTCATATATTGTGGCAAGAACAGAAAATCGTGTAACTGCTTGGAATACAGTTTGGTGGCACCTTAACAAGTGACGTGCAGAATTACCACACGATCTGGCAAGTCCCCTTCTGATGTGTGCCCCAGAGAGCTGAAAACAGGAACTGAAACTTGTACCTGCATACCAATATCCACAGCAGCACTATTTGCAACAGCTATAAGGTGAGAGCAACCCAATGTCCATCAACAAATAAATGGATAAACAAAATGTGGTATACACATACAATGGAATATTATTCAGACACAAAAAGGAATGAAATTCTAATTCATGCTACAACACAGACGAATCCTGAAAATAATGTTAAATGAAACAAGCCAAACTAAAGGACAAATATCATATGAATCTACTTACATGAAATATTTAGAACAAGTAAATTCACTGAAAAGGTAAGTAGAATAGGGTGTTACCATGGGCTGGGGAAGGAAAAGGGGAGTTAATGGATATGGATTTTCTATTTGTGATGATGACAGAAGTTCTGGAAATATATAGTGGTTAACGGTTGCACAACAATGTGAATGTACTTAATGCCACTTAAATGTGCACTTAAAAATCGTTCAAATAGGGGCGCCTGGGTGGCTCAGTTGTTAAGCGTTTGCCTTCAGCTCAGATCATGATCCCAGGGTCCTGGGATCAAGCCCTGCATGGAGCCATGCATTGGGCTCCCTGCTTGGTGGGAAGCCTGCTTCCCCCTCTCCCACTCCCCCTGCTGTGTTCCCTCTCTTGCTGTGTCTCTCTCTGTCAAATAAATAAATAAAATATTTTAAAAAAATGGTTCAAATAGTAAATTCTGTTATGGATACTTTACCACAGCAAAGAAAAGAAAAGAAGAAAAAAAGAAAAGAAAAGATTTTGTTTTTGTAATTGTTTCTGTGAAAGTTGTAACTGTTTCTATGAAAGTTTTGTACCACGGATTCTGGAAATCTCTTGTAGGAAGGTCCTAGAAAATGTCCACTGAGGCACTAGCACATCCCAGCCCAAAGGCACTGTGTTTAGGTGTGCAAGTCCCACACAGAAATGAAACAGATCCTTTGTCCCTTGGTTTCAACCTAGATATGGCACTTGCCTGGGGTGCATGAATCAGATTCATCTCCAACAGGCGAGTCTGGAGATGCCCCTCAGCTGGGCGATTATTCTTCAAGGCATCCAACAAGAAGGAAGTGCACTGCTGAATTAAACTGTTTTCCATGAAAACATCTACAATCTGAAACAGATAGCAAGCCACATTTTTACCCAAAGGAAATGGGTTTTATTTTCCTATTCAAATAGTTCCTGAAATTAAATCTCATTTAGAAATTCAATAATTAGTTCCTTCCTTTGCCTTTTTAAAAGTTTTTATTTATTTCTTTTAGTAATCTGTACATCCAATATGGGGCTCAAACTCACAACCCTGAGATTAAGGGTCTTCTGAATAAGCCAGCAAGGCGTCCCTGCATTTTCTTGTATTACAAAATTCAAGTAATTCATGGCCTTAATTTTTAGGAAATTTTGTGAAATTATATCACCCATGTCATATTCACCAACAGGGTATTTTACTCAAGTATATCAAAGGAAGTACTTTTATCAGTGTGAATCCCCCAAATTCTCTGAAGTGATTCAAGTAATCTTTTTTTTTTTTTTTAAAGATTTTTATTTATTTGTCAGAAAGAGAGAGAGAGAGAGCACAGGCAGACAGAGTGGCAAGCAGAGGCAGAGGGAGAAGCAGGCTCCCCACAGAACAAGGAGTCCGATGTGGGACTCGATCCCAGGATGCTGGGATCATGACCTGAGCCGAAGGCAGCTGCTTAACCAACTGAGCCACCCAGGCGTCCCTGATTCAAGTAATCTTAACAATCCATTACTTAATCAAATTCTAGAGGCAGTCAACACCTGCTGTCTAGCCCTTACACTCTAATTATTCAGGCAAGTTAGGAAAACGCAAACATTGACTTAGATACCAATCATCAGAGTTAAACAGATATCAAAGAATAAGCCTTAATATGAAGTGAAATATAGATAATGAGCTTACTGATTGTGTAAGTGTTTCCATATTTAAGTACAAGAAAAAGTTTATATTAAAAATACTCTAGGGGCGCCTGGGTGGCTCAGTGGGTTAAGCCGCTGCCTTCGGCTCAGGTCATGATCCCAGGTCCTGGGTTCAAGCCCCACATCGGGCTTTCTGCTCAGCAGGGAGCCTGCTTCCTCCTCTCTCTCTGCCTGCCTCTCTGCCTACTTGTGATTTCTCTCTGTCAAATAAATAAATAAAATCTTTAAAAAAAAGGGGATTTCAGAAAACTTACATACTTAGCCCCTGTCCTCAAAGACTTCATAATCTTATTTGCAAATGGAGTATGCATCCTCTTGATAAGACAACAGAGTATGGGTTAAGAGCAAAATGTGGGGGCGCCTGGGTGGCTCAATTGTTAAGCATCTGCCTTGGGCTCAGGTCATGATCCCAGGGTCCTGGTTCAAGCCCCACATCGGGCTTTCTGCTCAGCAGGGAGCCTGCTTCCTCCTCTCTCTCTGCCTGCCTCTCTGCCTACTTGTGATTTCTCTCTGTCAAATAAATAAATAAAATCTTTAAAAAAAAATAAAAAAAATACTCTAGAGGGCACCTGGGTGGCTCAGTTGGTTAAGTGTCTGCTTTTAGCGTGGGACATGATCCCAGGGTCCTGGGTTAGAGGAACTGCATCAAGCTCTCTGCTCGGTGGTGAGTCTGCTTCTCCCTCCCTCTGCCAGCTGCTCCCTCTGCTTGTGCTTGCTCTTTCCCTCTCTCTCACTCTCTTTCAAATAAATAAAAAAAAAAATACTTTAGAACTATGAAATACAATCCAGATGTAATCTGGAGTTTTCTTTCCCTTTGAGGTCTATATAAATTTGGCTCAAACCTCTTAATCATGATCTCCAAAATCCTGCAAATTCCACAATGTATAAACCCAGTATAACTGTACTTATAATTATATTTATACAGGTTGCTGGTTTCAAGCTTTGTTTCATATCTCTGTATTACCCAGAGCCCTTTGCACACAGCTTACTGAAGGCAACTAGACATGTGTTTATATCTAAACACTAACTACGTTATGCTAAAATAATAGTCTCACGTTCACCTAACTCCAGGTTAGCCAGACACCCACAAGATGAAAGTCTGCAGACTAGAAAGCACTCACCATAACCAGGTACCCAGGCAGAATTCAGGTGGCCTCAGTCAGCAGAGGATAATGAGGTGGGGCTCGGGTGGGGCTACTGCTGTCAAATAACATCCTCACTCCCCACCCCCAACCACCACACAAAGAAATAAGATTCTCACAACTGGACACCTAAATCCTCTAAAACACTTCAAAACAAAAGTAAATGACAGGCATTCAAACAATAAAAGACTAGAAGACAAGCTTCCCTGGTACATCAGATTTTTAAAACTGGAAGATGAATAGCAGACAAAGAAAAGAATCAAGACACTGGTAAGAGAAAAACAAAAGAGATCTTCTTGACAGTTATACAAGCCACAAAAAGCTGTCTCAAACAACCACTGATGCTCACCTGGTCAATGTTGGCCAACGGCTCTTCCTCTCGCACTAGCATTTGAGAAAATTGCAGGCCCTGGTCTGGACTGATCCTCATCACACTCCTCAGCAAAAAGATCCAGTCTGGGACATAGCCAACCTAGAGGCAAGGGGACACCCTCAGAAAAATAAACAAAATACTCTGAGTGGTTAAGGAAAAAAAAAAAAAGCTCCCATCCTTTTTTTGGAACTTGTGTTTACAAAGAAATGAGAAATGATATTAGCATGTGTACATGCTGCACCTGTGCCAAACACAACACCCACTTATGTGATGATGCCATGTATGTGGAGGTACAATCAATCAACTACACAAACAGCCTGGACCACAAAGAAGTCACCCTGACAAGTGTGCCAGCTCTGACCAACACCCAGCACACAGGCCAGTTTGCCTCATGGACAAGCTGCAGTGGACCCCCACTGAAACATGGGTTTAACACACAGTTGGTGCTGAGGGGTATGAGGGAAAAGGGAGAAAAAGAACAAGATAAAATTACAGAAGGGGCACCTGGGTGGCTAAGTAGGTTAAGCGTCTGCCTTCGGTTCAGGTCATGATCCCAGGGTCCCAGGATCGAGCCCCACTTTGGGCTCCCTGCTCAGTGGAGAGTCTGCTTTTCCCTCTGTCTGCTGCTCCTGCTCTGCTCTTTCTCTCTCTCTCATTCTCAAATAAATAAATAAAACCTTAAAAAATTATCAGAAAATCCCCAACTGGAAGGGAACTGGAAGGACTATAAGCACAAGACAGGAAAACAAAAAACTGAAGAGAATAAAATAGGATCATTATCACTGAGTGACCGATGCTAGCAGCAACACCGACAACTCACACTAGAGCACTGCCATAGAAGGAAGGGTATTTTGTAAACCCAAGAATCAGCAATCACCCACCACAAATTAAGTATCTGTGAAATGCTACTGGTTAGGCATGCATTACCTTTTTGGCATAAAGGACAATTTTTTGGAATTGGCCTGTTTCTGCAAAACACTGGATAACTTTGCTCGGCACATTCGCTCGAAGATACACACTCAGAGCAAGTGTAGGGTCAGCAGTTTTGACCAAATCTCCAAGTTCTTCTGAACACTCCAGCTGTGTTGTGCCAAAGAGACAGGGCAAGATTAGGACCAGAGGAACCTGTGACTTCATTTTCAAATGGTGCTGAGGGTTGTGATTTCGTGTTTGTACCTTATCTTCTTTCAGCCACTTTTCTAAGAGTTGCTTGCGTCCCTGCTGAAGCACTGGACGGCAAAGTTCTAAGGATTCAAGTTTATTGAGCTGACCCTGATCAAGCAGGATTCCAAAGTACTGGAGCAAAGGAGAAGCCTGCCCAGGCTGGGCAGGAATACTCTGGAACTTTCGAACAGTGTCACTGGTACGTAGGACTCCCTGACGACAAATGGAAATGTACATTGTTACGTTATAATCACAAGCTGTCCTTTTACTTAACTGGCCTGTATTTAAAAAAAAAATCCGGGACACCTGGGTGGCTCAGGCCATTAAGTGTCTGCCTTCAGGTGAGATGATGATCTAGGATTGAGCCCCACATTGGGCTCCCTGTTCACAGTGAACCCGTTTCTCTCTCAACTCCCTGCTTGTGCTCTCTCTCACTATTTCTCTTTCTCAAATAAATAAAATATCTGCCAATGGAAATTCTACCCTGAATTAATTGTCAGGGACAGGAAGTCCTGTACCACAGCAATGGCTTCCACTTTCAGCAAAAATCACAAACATAGGGATGCTTGAGTGGCTCAGTCAGTTGAGCATCTGCCTTTGGCTCAGGTCATGATCCCAGGGTCCTGGGATCGAGTCCCACATTGGGCTCTCTGCTCAGTGAGGAGCCTGCTTCTCCCTCTGTTTGCAGCTCCCCTTGCTTGTGCGCTCTTTCTCTCATTCTGACAAATAAATAAATAAAATCTTAAAAAAAAAAAAAGACCAGAAACACAATGGATGTCAGTCCCACAAGTGACTTCTAACAAGGGTGAGAATTAGGCTTCTAAATCAGCCTTGCAGTAGCGAAGTACTACCACCATTACATTCTAATTCAAAATACTCAAAGTCCTGGGTGAAGATTAGAAATGGTTTGTTCATAAGCATCACTTGAAAGACAGAAAAATCCCTTTCAAGGAGAAGCAACTCAAAACCTTTTATCTGCTCAGAAGCAGAACTAGGGCCAGGACAATTTATCCTAATGAAATAAATAAAAGAAAATGCCCTAGGCAGTACTGTTACACTAACGATGAGTGAAGAAAGTCAAGAGTAGAATGTGAGTAAATAAAATGTGGTACAACCACTTGATGTATAATATAGCTCTGCATTTTCTATGCTAAGAACCTGGGTGTGAAATACGTATGCACATAAATAAGAACTGGAAGAATTTTTTAAAAAATGTTGCAGCAGGAATATGCTTTTCATTGATTTGTCTCGTTGTCGTCAGGCCACTGGTGCAAAATTTTAAAGCTAAAACAACTAAAAATACAGTTAAGAAATTCCAACATCAGTAGTGAATGTTTTTATAATTTATTTTACTCTCAGGCTGGCACACAGCATTCGAGGGCCATTACCTTTGGTGCAGATGCTGCTACTTTGGCGGCTTCAGCATAGCTCCCCTGTGCAAAGAGAGTACTGAATTTTCTCACAAATAACTCCTCCGCCCCAGCCAGGTTGCTACGAATGGCCAAACGCAGACCAAGGTCTGGATTCTGAAGCACATTGGTTGCATAATTCACAATGTTATCTTCCTCAACACAAATGGACAGCACCTGTAAAGAACCAACAAGTGAAACTGGCCTAACCCAGGACAGTGCTCCATATACACACACTGCCAACATCCCACTCGCAGGCACTGCAGTATCAGCAAAGTTCTAAGGCTCAGGCTGGGTATGTCTAGAACATTGGCTCCAATAGTGACAAGATGCACAGGAGGCAAACACCTAATGGAAGCAAAGAATACCATGGTAGGGCAACAGCACGGTCAAATGAGAAAAACATCAAGTTGCATGGACATTGACTATTGATGCATCCAAGATGACTCTGCAAAATGACCTATTTGGGTAGGTGGAAGTGACAGTTTTTCATCTCAATGTTCTTTTTTTTTTTTATAGCACAGATTTCCTTCTTTTAACTGTCTTTTTAACTTTAGTTGAGAAAGGTAATTTAGGTAGAATAGTACCTGCTTTTCAGCCCTCCCCAATTAACATGTGCCTGGCCTGAACATGTTAGTGGTATGTATCAGAACCACTGCTCCATTGGCAGAAGCTTTGTGCAGGGAGCTACTCTTCTCAGAATCAATCCTATGTTAAGAATGGTGCTATCTGAGAGGCAAAGCAACGGTAGGAAGGAAAAGGGAGACACGGGTGTAAGTTCAATAACAGGAGCTAACTATATTTGATCACTTTCCTGAAGGAGAAGGAAAAGTTAAGCTGCAGTCCCCAGTGAATGGAAAAGATGGGAGATGAACCCTCAAAGTTCCATACTTGTCCCTTTTTGTTGACACCGATAATTCCAGAAGTAGGTTCATGTGGAGCAGTGACAAAGATCGTGTCAGCACTAATACGGTTCATGTAGATGCACACTCCAGACTCTAGATCATACAGATGAAGATAGCCATACTTTGTGATCAAGTAAATAACACCATGTTTAGCTCCAATCTATAGAAAGACAGAGAACAACAAGTAGAAAAGTAAGGAGAAGCCAAATAGGGCAAAAGGGTTCACAAATGATGAAAGAGTATCTTGAGTTCCTTAGCCCAATAGGTCATTTATCACTGGCAGGAGCAGTGTGCTACTGAGACATGGATCCCAAGTTGATTCTAGTCATGCCCACTTGAGAACTAGTTTTAAAGCCAATACTTTCCCTGACTCCTCTCTAATAAAGGTCCAGTAAGTCAGGCTATTCCATTTGTCTTTTAGATCTAACTATCCTCTCCCTGACTTTCTTACCAAATCCCTTCAGAAAAAGCTGTGAGTTCATAAAATGAGGAGAAAGTTCTGGATAAACTTAAAAAAATTATAAAACCTACAGCACTTTATTTATTTTTTAACAAGTTTATTTATTTACATCATCTCAACACCCCAAGTGGGGCTCAAACTCATGACCCCAAGATCAAGAGTCACATACTCCTCCAACTTAGCCAGGCACCCCAAACCTATCGTAATTTTGAAAGTATGGTAGCAAAAAACAGAGTACCAGAATAGGAAGAAACAAAAACAAACAAAACTTAACTGAGAACCCTGAAATAGAATCAAACATATATAAGAATTTAACATGAATGAGTAGTATTTCATAATAGTAGAAAACAGACTTTAACCAGTATACAATACTGATATAACCAACTGGCTATATGGGGATGGGAGATGAGTGTAAAGAACTGGTTCTCTGGGCGCCTGGGTGGCTCAGTCATTAAGCGTCTGCTTTCGGCACAGATCATGATCCCAGAGTCCTGGGATCAAGCCCCTCATTGGGCTCCCTGCTCAGCAGGGAAACCTGCTTCTCCCTCTCTCTCTGCATACTGCTCCCCCTGCTGTGCTCACTCTCTGTCAAATAAATAAATAACATCTTAAAAAAAAAAAAAAGAACTGGCTCTTCATCTTATTTTTTAGATCAAAATAAATTCCAGGTGGGTCAAAGATTTTTACATAAAAAGTAAATAAAACTAAGAAAGTAAAAGAAGCAAATATGGGTGAATACTTTCATCACTTTGGGGTGTAGAATTCTTTTCAAAACATGATACCCAAGCCACACAAAAATGCAAATCTTCCACAAGCTGGAACACACCACAAATAAACTTTTGCTATGACTAGAGAGAAATATTTATTTGAAACACACCAGGCACTTAGTATCCGAAAACTACACAGAGTTCTTACAAGATAAAGACCCCAAGAGAAAAAGTGCCAAGATCAGGAAGTGACAATTAACAAGATGCATATGAGTGGTAAACCCACCCCATCTTGACAATAATCACAGGGAGGGCGTGAACATCACTAGACTTTGTCCAGCATGGTCGTGCACATGTCTCTAACCCAGTAGTTTCATCTGTAGTTTATCCTAGGACTGAGCATTGGATTAATAATACTGCTAGAAGTGTTTACTGTAAACATAAATACCCAATGGGGGACTGTCTAAATGAGTTAGAGATATCCACAGAACAGAAGATACAGACATTAAAATATTATATATATTTAGTTGGTGTGGGATGGTCTATGACACAGAGAAGGTCATAAAGCTGAAGGCCAGTGCCAAGCCATTTTTCACAAGACTCTATTTGCAGGGACATGTCGGTGGCTCAGTTGGTTAAGAGTCTGCTTTTGGCTCAGATCATGGTTCTAGGGTCCTGGGATTGAGTCCTACATCGGGCTCCTGCTTAGCAGGGAGCCTGTTCCTCCCTCTGCCAGCTGCTTCCCCTGCTTTTTCTCTTTCTCTCCGACAAATAAATAAAATCTTAAAAAAAAAAAAAGACTCTATTTGTAAATATCTTCACAAATGCATGCATATGAAAAAATTTCCAAAGGGGCAGTCACAGTTAGCAGTGGGGTAGGATTTCAATTGCTATTTAATTCTATGTTATGTTTATTGATACTGTTGGATATTAATGGACAATATATGTTTCTCTAAAACAGAAAAAAGGTCAATTTCTCTTTGTGGGGAAAAAAATGTATTTGATTACATATCTATTTCCAGAAATCAAGCTTAAAAAATTATCATTTAAAAAAATTTTAAAAAGAAATCATCATTAAGTATTGTCAAATATGTGAGAACAGAAAAAAAGCCAACAGCTAAACCATCCTACAATTATGGTACGTGCCTAAAAATAAATGTTTACTTCTCAAAATATTAACAAAGAATGTCATACCAAATGCCTATGATGTAGTGAGCAAAAAAATAAAAAGGGAGAGTAGATTGTACGATCTTACGTATATAAATATGATCCCAATTTTGTTGAGATAGTGTATCTAACTTTTTAAATATGACAAATAGTGAGATCTCTGATCATTCATCCAGTGGTAAACATCCAATTGGTTCAGCTATAAAGATTGTTTTCTTCTTTATATTTCTGTATTACAGAGAACATCTAATCTTTTGTAGTAAAAAGGAAAAGGCCTGGGACTTTGGTATGTGAGTTGGACAAAGTCCCTGTATGCAGAAAAAGAGTGCTCCTTTCCGGAGAATGTTAACACAGCATGAGCTAGAACATGGGCATCAACGTTATCCTCTTCATGTTCTAATATATCTATTCAGGCATCTTCTGAAGCACAGGAACCTGCTACCTGCTGTTCCCCCCCCCCCCCCCAGATCCATATTTGTTCTAACTCATGTAGTGGGCAGCACATTCATACCTGCATAGCCACTGGGAAATCAGTCTGAGCCTCTGGAGGAAAAAACACATCCACAGCTTTCTTTACGAAAGGCTGGTTTCCTGCTGCAGGCTGTCCGACTTCAATTATGTGCAACTAGAGAAGAAATTTAAGTCAATCCAAGTAAACATATTGGTGGCAGACTGATGCTAACCAATGCCCACTGGTAAGTAGAGCCACAGCCCACACTTTGTAGGGCTAATGATAAAACTTACAAAGAAAATGACAGTCTCTCGGTTGGAGTGCTCATGCTATTCACTAACCTGCTGCCCATCATCAAGGATACAGGAAAAAACAACACTGGAAACCTGAGCAACATTTAGTTCCAGCATGTTGGCCGAATTGCTTCTCCCCTCTCTGGGCTTTAGTGTAGAAGCCCATGAAACAAGGGGCTCTGCTGGACATGGCTTAGACTAAGACAAATCAGTTAGTAGACAAGATCTTGTAACTGAATGCCAAACTCACAATACAGTCGATTGTGCCAAAGGCCTGAGAGCTTCTCAAGGTTTTGCTTGGGGAGGGGGGTTCATAAGAATCTTTGGAGAATCAGGAAGAATGAGAGTGGATAAGGGGCTCCATCCCTGCTTTTATCAGAACAGCTTCAAGTTCCTCTCATCTAATGGAAAGGTACCAAAGCTAAAACAAGTCTGGAAAAAATCACAAGTAAGGGTGGTCAAAGACAAAGCGACAGGGGTTGGAGGGGGTGCCCAGCAGAACAAACTGATGAATGTAAATAGTGTGGATTTGGCCTGGCAGAGAGGAGGGGGAAACACCAAAGAGGCTTGAGGTAAGCAGCGAGATGGGCTAGAAGGGGAGGGCTAATGTAGCAAGTTGAGCAGGGGCCACTGCAAGTTAAGATGCAGGGAGACTAAACTCTTAGCATACAGGCACTTAAAAGAAATGGTAGCTTGGGAAAATTCTTTTTGAGGGGTGGGATGGGTCTGGGGACCTAATAAATCACTATTCTCTAACCCAAATATGGGTAACAAGGGCTTCATCTGCCAAAGAAGTGAGACTTGCTAGAGGATGGACAGTGGTAACAGGAATAGAATGTAGCTCGAGGGCCGTGTTTCTTGCTTGGGAGTTGGGAAGGATGGGGACACTGTCAACAGAAGCAGGGGCATGACTAAGAAAGCCAGGCTTCTTTGGGAGGTGGCAGGAGAAGGGCACAATTATCGGCAAGTGGTACTGTCCTATAAGAAAGGAACAAGGAAATAAATAAAAAAAATTAAAAAAAGAAAGGAACAAGGAACTGGAGTCCAGACAAAACTCAGATCCATATGAGTAGACCACCGAGCCATTCCCATAAGTGCAGCTGGGCTGGACTAGAAGGGGTGTGCACAGGGGGCAAAGGCTGAGAGGTCTCTGAAGGGACCCACACTTGCCACTGTGGTAGGGGAAGTGAGATTCAACCACAAAATGAGGTGGTTCTGGGGATGGCTGCTGTGGGGGGGTCCCCACCATGGAAGACTGTTCCTAGCCGCAGCTTTGTCCTGAGGGGAACTGCCTGCTTCACAGCTGAGTCCAGGAGATAAATGGGCACACCTGTCTTACAGGGGGCTTGTTCTGGTGTGTTCTTCTTCACCGGGAGCTTGGCGGGACAAGTTCTGCCTTTGCAAGGGTGCCTGTGGCTGCCTAGCTCTGTCTGTGGCAAGGTGGAAAGCCTCAGTATAAGACATTTTTGCCTGACTCCTATTTTTCTACTGGTTCTCAGCTAAGGAGGGCATAATGTATATTACACAGGAGACCAAAGTATCCAATGAAGAATATTTAAGATGATGAAGTTTGGGACCACATACTGATTTAGCAGTCTTCTTTGGGGAACACTTGAGGGCTAGTGACCAACTCAAAATAATGACTTCAGGGAGTATTTCTGACAAGAGTATACTGAGATAAGGACACTGTTTTAAGGCCACTCTCGAGGTGAGTGACGCAACTATGGAACCACACAACTATGGAACCACAGGTCTATCCAACATCCTAAATTCTTATACCTCCTATCTCTGCCCACAGCAACTCCGGTGAACAGATGCTAGCCATGTGCTTGAGCCTAATAAAACTCAACCTGCTCCCAGAGCATGGCCTCCACTCTGCAGCTCCCACCACCTGGCCAGAAGCACACAGGACCCATGCCTTACGTTGGGATAGTGTGCATTGGTTCTTTCACAGCTGTTACCTCCACGAGCCTGCTGTGTGAGAACAGAAACCACATGTGCATAGCCCATGCTCAAGAGACTCTGTCAAAGAGGACTTTTTTAGGGCAAAGGGACCAATTAATTGGTAGAGCTGACCTCACATTACTGACTTTACAAAGACTGGCTGTGAAACCATCAACACATACAACAGGGAGTTGCTCTAAATACTCTAAGAACTTTCATTTCCATGAAGCACCTGCAGGCTGTTCCCCACTCCCAACTATAAACTGGTTTTGAAACGTTGGCTAAATGTTTACACTTGGACAGAGACTCCCAACACTCACTCAGGACACCTTTCTGAGGGTGAAGACAAAGTGGAGAGCTTACCTTGCCCCCTGCAGGACTCCGTACAGCAAAGCAGAAAAGGGTGGCAGGCTTGGCATTCCCCTCACTCTTGAACTCTGCAAAAGCAGCAGCATGGCCTTCTATGGGTTGTGAAACCTTCCTATCCACAGAGTAGAGCTGCATTGCCCCAACGACACGGTTTTGCTAAGACAAGACATTTTGCAATGAAAGGGAGAGAAAAGAGAGGATATAAATTGTTAAAACAAATGTTCCTAAAATGAAAGTCTCATATGTTGATAATAGTTTCTCTAATAAAAATCAAGCCTATTAGATATTAAAGACATGATACAACTCTACATTTGATGTGGAAAGATGGCCACAAACACCAGGGAGAAAGTAAGACTACAAAACAGTAAGACAGTGGTCCCAATTTGTTAAACGTAAAATGTGTGTATACACGTAGGTATGCATTTATACATGTTTGTGGATGTGTGTAAGTGTACATTCAATGTTTGTACATGTAAATCTATATATACGTACATTCTATGCATACACATAAATACTCATATAACGTAAGTCTTGGGAAGAAAAACTAAAATGTTTAAAGAGTAGTTTAATCAGGAGGAGGAGATTATGGGCTAATTTTGAAAATTGGGTTTTCTGAAATTTATAAATAGCAAAAACTGTATTTAGTAAACCCCAATAAGGCTAATATCTTTTTAAAAAATTAATTAGGCTAATATCTTTTATAAAACTTAGAACTTCCATTTTCTAGAAAAGAATTTCTATATATTTATATCCAATGTCAAATGCTCAAGAAGCAAAGTAAAGAGATGTAAGTAAATGAGACATGACAGCATCACAGCTCAAGCCCCTAGAATCCAACATTCGAATAGCTATCACAGTCCAATGAGCCCCTCTGCAGTCTGTGCATAAATTCAGATCCCCAGTGTATCTGCCACCTACCCTCACTCCATAAAAAGGCAAAGGCTTCAACATTTTTCTTTTTAAAGAACCTTTCCTTTGTACTTTTCTACTGAAGACACTTATGCTGAAGTACTATGCAAAGTACCAATTCATGCTACATGATGAACCTTGAAAACAGGCAAAGTGAAAGAAGCCATTCACAGAGACCCCATATGAAACATCCAAAATAGGGAAATCCAGAGAGATAGAGCAGACGAATGGCTGCCAAGGGCTGGAAGGAGGGAAGAACAGGGGAGCAACTGGTAAACTAGTGTGTGCGCTCTAGCAGAAGAATGAGCAAGAGAATTCTGAAGTAACAGTAAGGACAGGACAAGACTCACCCTCCCAAGTGAGGATGGGAAAATTGGAGACAATATGGAGACAGTATTTTTGAGGCCCCAATGCTAGAAAAGTCTAAAGCCAAAAAGAGGTGGAGCAGAGAGAATACCTGAGATCAAGACTGAGACCTGGACTCCTGCACTGGCTGTCTTCATGGACCCACCCAGAGGCTACACATGTGGCCCTGAGCCAATGACCTGCTTGTGAGCCTTAAGTCTCCTGCTTAGTAAAGTCCACCTTGCAGGGGTGTTGCGTGTTGTGCGCTCCGGGAAAGTGCATATTGAGGACTGCAGCTGACAAAGATTCAATGCAAAAATGCTTCCTTTTGCGCCAGGCACCATGCAAGGAGCTAAGGATAAGGAAAGTGAATGTAACCCAGACCCTTCCCTTAAGGACACATGATAAGGGTTTCTGGCAAGGAAGCAAGCAACAGCAACACAGGGTGCTAACTGCTATGGCCCAGGATAGAGTGAGATGCTGTGACTCCGCTCACTCAGTCTGGTGGGTCAGGAAAGGATTCCTTGGTGACAAGTAAGCTGGAGTAAGAGGTCACAAGGTGAAAAGCAAAAGCTGTTTCTAACAAAGGGGAAACGTTTGCAAATGCTTAGACAGGAGGTTGCAAACTGCGGCCTGAAGGCCAAAATCTACCCTCCACATTCTCCTCCTGCCTCCTTTTTGTTGAGATGACATTCACTAAATAACCTATAACTACCCATTTTAAAGGATTCAATTCGGTGGCATTTAGAACATTCACAATGTTGTGTCTCTATCACCTCTGTGTAATTCCAAAACATTTTCATCATCTAAAAAAATCCTTGTGCCTATTAAAAGTCCCCATCTCCCTGCTCCCCAACCCCTGGAAACCACAAATTTTTGTCTCTACAGATTTACCTAAAGATTTCATATAAATGGAATCAAAATATGTGCCCTTTTGTGTCTGACTTGTTTCACTCAGTGAGGTTTTCTAGGTTTATCTATGTTGTAGCCTGTATCAGTACTTTATTCCTTTTTAGGGCTAAGTGATACTCCATTTTATGTATAAATCACATTTTGTTTATCCATTCATCCAGCGGTAAACATTTGGGTTGTCTTCATCTTTTAGCTATTATAAATAATGCTGCTATGAATATTTGTGTACAGTTTTTGTAAGGGAGTGTTTTCCTCATTTTTCTTGGATAGCTACCTAGGAGTGGAATTGCTAGGTCAAATAGGAACTTTATGTTAAATTTTTTGAGGAATCATCAATCTGTTTTCCACTGGAGCTGAACCATTTAACATTCCCACTACTGACATATAAGGATTCCAGTAACTCTGCATCCTTGCCAAAAAATTACAGCTTAATTTAAAATTGAGCTCGATTTACAGCTCAATTAAAAAATTAGGGGTGCCTGGGTGACTCAGTGGGTTAAAGCCTCTGCCTCCGGCTCAGGTCATGATCCCAGGGTCCTGGGATCAAGCCCTGCTTCGGGCTCTCTACTCAGCGGGGAGCCTGCTTCTCTTCCTCTCTCTGCCTACTTGTGATCTCTGTCAAATAAATAAATAAAATCTTTTAAAAAATTTTTTAAAAATTACAACCATCCCAATGGGTGGTATTGTGGTTTTGATTTGCAATTCCCCAGTTACTAAGGATGTTGAACACCTTTTAATGTGCTTGTTGGCTATTTGTATATCTCTGGACAAATGTCTGTTCAAGTTTTTTGGCCCATTTTCTAGTTGAGATATCTTTTTGTTGTTGAGTTGTAAGTGTTCTCTAAATATTCTAGATACTAGACTCTTCTCAGATAAATGATGTACACACTTCCATTCTTTAGGTTGTCTTTTCACTTTCTTGACCATGTCTTTTGATTCACAAATGTTTTTAATTTTGATGAAGTCCAATTTACCTATTTTTTCTTTTGTTGCTCATGCTTTGGGTATTATGTCTAAAAATCCATAGCCAAATACAAAGTCATGAATATTCTTCATGTCATCAGTTTTGCCTCTTATATTTAGGTATTTGATCCATTTTGAGTTAATTTTTAAAGATTTATTTATTTTGAGAAAGAGAGAGTGAGTGTCAGCTGGAGGAGGGGCAGAGGGGGAGAGAAGGAGAGAATCTTAAGCAGGATCCAGGCCCAGCTCAACCTAACAACCCTGAGATAATGACCTGAGCCGAAATCAAGAGTGGGACGCTCAACCAACTGAACTACCCAAGAGCCCTGAGTTAATTTTTATAGATGGTACAAGGTAGGAATCCACTCCATTATTCTGCGTTTGATAACCGTGGTGTGCCAGCACTACCTATTGAAGAGAACAGTCTTTTCCCATTGATTGGTCTTACCACCATTGTCAAAAATCTACTGGCCAAGATCAGCTGTGTGGTGCAGCTGGTTACGTGTTTGACTCTCGGTTTTAGTTCAGGTCGTGATCTCAGAGTCCTGGAACTGAGCCCCACACTGGTGAGGAGTCTGCTTTAGGTTCTCTCTCTCTGTCCCTCTCCCTCATGCTGTCTCTCTCTTTCTAAATAAATAAATGAAATTAAAAAAAAAATCAATTGGCCACAGATGTATGCTTTATTCCTGAACTTTCAGTTCTATTCCATTGGTCTACATGTCTATCCTTATGCCCATGGGTTTTTGTTGTTGCTAAATACTTGTGTGATAGTATGATAAAAATAAGAAATACATATCCAGTCTTTGTCCCTTGTTCCTGGCATAGAACTCCTAAAACCCTTGCAATTTCCTAAGTGATATGAGTGAGAGGTGCATCTTCATGACACAAAAGCTTATGGGGGGCCTTAGATAGCTTCTGGTTTGGAACTTTAAGTCCCACCACATCCTGGCCTCTAGGGAAGGGAACAGGGACTGGAGACAGAGTTAATCACCAATGACAATGAAAATATATATAGGAAAAAAAAAAAGAAAAGAAAATATATATAGAAACCCCTGAATTACAGAATTCAGACAGCTCCTAGCATCAAGTTGCTGGGAGGGTGGAAGGCCTGTACAGGGCATGGAAGCTCCATGCATACCCCCTTCCTCCATGCCTTGCCTTATGCATCTCTTCCATTTAGCTGTTCCTAAGTTGTATCCTTTTTAATGAACCAGTAACAGTAAGTAAAGTGCCTTCCTGGGTTATAGGAACCACTCTAGCAAATTATCAAACCAGAGAAGGGGGTCATGGGAACCCCTATTTTATAGCTTGTTGGTCAGAGCTGCTAGGAGCCTGGGACTTGAGACTGGCATCTGAAGGCATGGGGGCAGTCTCGTGGGATTGAACCCTTAACTTGTGGAGTCTACACTAATTCTTGGACATCCAGTTAGTGTCCACAGAGAATCAGAGAACTGTTTGGTGTAGAAAAGCCAACAGCTTTGGTGTCAAAAGTATAGTGAGTAAAAAGCTTTTAGCTTGGATTTTTTTTTTTGTTGGTTTTCTTTTTGTCAGTAAACCACAAATAAGTAACACTGTGATTTATAATGTTTTCTTTTAAATTATTTTTCAAACATGATGATTTCCTTATAAATGAGCATGATTCTTAAAGGTATTTTTAACAACTTTATTGATCTATAATTCATTTACCATATAATTCATTTGAAATATACAATCCAATGTTTTTTAGTTTATTCACAGGATTGTACAACCATCACAATGTACTTTTTAAAACACTTTCATCCCTTAAGAGAAACCTCATTAGCAGCCAATCCCCATTCCCACCTCCCACATTCCACCCCCAGTCAAACAACTACTTACCCATTTTCTATCTCTGTGGATAACTATTCTGAATGTCTCATAAAAATGGAATCATGCAATATGTGGGTTTTTGTGCTTACATGTTTCACTTACTTAATATTTCCAAGATTAAGAATGGTCATGGTATATAGCATATATCAGTACAGATGACTCTTGAGCAATGCAGAATT